AACCCCAAAACCCCAAAACCCCTTTAGATTGAATAGAAGTTCTAATTGGTTATTAATTAATCCGAAGAATGAAATATAATAAAAATTATGAAAGCAAATTAAAGGTTCAGTAGATAACTTCCTTTAAACTACATTATAATTTTAGTCTTAGTGCTCTCAGTTTCATACTTTGTTATTAGTAAAGAGATAACTTAATATGCAGGGAAGTGTTCTCTCTGCATTATTAATAAATACTAATACTGTGATAAAAAATGCCATACAGGCAACGATACCTGCACGAACTCTTACCTTGACACATGTAAAGACACACAATCAAATTCAACTCTTTGCAATAAGTTGCATATTATAACCTCTAACGACTAAGGATATAAGAGAATTCTCGAACTTGTACTAGGACCTGGTCAATGGTGCTAGTTTATGCTTACAGACGACATCTATAATGCATTACTGAAGTATACCATCGCTAATTGGAGTGTGAATGCTAATAACACAGCAACTGTTACTTTTAATGAAACAAATCAAACAAGAAGACTCACTACAGATTAAACAACCAATATACTTATAACAGACTATTAGGACCCTTTAACACCTACCACAAATATGCTCCTAAATTTCTCTCACACAATATTAGTCTATAACCCAGAAGTTGACATTGCTTCAAGAAGATTATTTTCTCTGACATACTCCAGCTCAATTATAAATCAACTCTCTTGGGTTTTGAGTAGCATCATACTATTTGGAATGGGCCTTTCAACTTTTTGAGCCTTAAGATGAAGAAATTGTTAAGTTTAATTTTTAATTATAAGCTATTCTATTTTCTACCTTATTAATAATTTAATCAGATAATCAACATGGTCGCAGAGTCAGAAATTCCAAATTCTAAGGCAATATTAGGTGCAGTCTTTGTACAATACGTAGTCTATGCCCTGATCTATATAATTGATGGCTTCAGATACGAGGCTTACTACGGTGAAGATTCAAAGAGTGGAGCTTCTGCTGCATAAAATAAAGCCAAAGATAATAAAAAAGCAGATGTAAAGAAGAACTAGGATGCAGCAGCTGAAAACCAAAGTCCAGCAGATGTCAATGAAGTAGAGCTAGAACAATAAGATTAACCAAATGAAAATGTTGATGGTATGGTAGGCTAAAAGAAAGATGCAAAACCAGCAGCTGGTATAAATGACTCATAGTTAAATAATGATGAGGATAGTGAATTTGAGAGCGCTCATTTATTCGTTATTGTAACTAAGAACTTCCAAAAAATGTCTATTTGGTTCTTCTTGCTAAGTGGACTTTGCGCTTTTAGAGCTGCCATTCCACTGACAGTTGCTATGGCTTGGCTTTAAGTTCTATGTAGAATCGTGCAATTAATTGGAACTATGCTTAAAAAGAGACTTGTTGCTAAGATTGGTTATTTATCCGCTACTCTATTTATGATAATAATGTTCTTGGGTGTTATGGCAGATGAGTCTCAAGTATTAAAGTGAAACTGATTTAAAATGGGCTTCTCTGTAGTAATCATCAAATCTGATAATACCTTTTCTGAATACTTATAAGCTCGACCGAATGTATTTTTTAGCTACAAAATTTTAGCTTATATACTTATTTTGATCTCATCTATGTTTTTAAATTGACTTCATGGGGTTTTGGGGTTTTGGGGTTTTGGGGTTTTGGGGTTTTGGGG